AAGAATAGGGCAGGAGGGATCGTAGGTCTTTTTCAACCCAGAAAACCTGCTCTGATACCATGTGGTGATTCGTGGGGATTGGGAGAGAGAGAGAGGTACGGTTGAGAGGAAAAAGTCTCTACTGGATGCCGCCAATTTTCTATTTATATTAACTTCATAAAAGAATCAGAAATTACAAGTATGCCCCTGGCAGCATATCCTAGAAACAGAATAATAAGAAAAAAGAAAGAAGAAAAAAGAAACAAGTAACTGTAACTGTCAAACAGCCTACTAACAGCAGCTATAAAGTAATAATTAAGTAAGCCTTACAACAGTTTGCTTAGATGGAACAGGGGTGGTAGTAAGGAAGGGGAAGCTTGTGAGGAATGGATTTGGGTTATAACGAGGTATAAGTTTGGGGAGAAAGAAGTGTTGGTATAGAACAGTCCTAAGCTTGTGGAAGATGGTTGCTCTAAATCTCTATTGGTGAGTAGTGTTTCGGAAGATTCTGCTAAGAAGAAGGAAGAGAGCGGTCTGTGCGGTGGTTCTGAGTGGCAGGKGTTAGAAGATAATTGATTGATTTCAAGTTCAACTTCAGATTTTGCTCCGGTTTGTAGGTGTATAAGTTTGGGGAGAAAGAAGTGTTGGTATCGAACAGTCCTAAGCTTGTGGAAGATGGTTGCTCTAAATCTCTATTGGTGAGTAGTGTTTCGGAAGATTCTGCTAGGAAGAAGGAAGAGAGCGGTCTGTGCGGTGGTTCTGAGTGGCAGGTGTTAGAAGATAATTGATTGATTTCAAGTTCAACTTCAGATTTTGCTCCGGTTTGTAGGTGGCTCCAACTTTGGAACCAAGGCTTCTATGTCTTGATTATTGCTCGCCTTCCTCAGATGCATCGTTGGAGTAGGTGAGGTTCGAGTGCAGTATAAGGATTGACTGTTGCGAGGTGGAGGAAATACTATTTTTCAAAAGAGCAACAAGGAGTGGCTAGTAGAAGTGATAGTTGGAAGGATTGGAGTCGATTTGGGGAGGAAAAGGTTAGTGTCTAACTATGCGGATTCTGGTGAAGGTTCGGTGGTTGCAAAGAAACCTAGAGGATCGGGTAAATCCCATCATGTCACCAAGGTATCCTCAAGACTAAAAGGACTTGTTGGGACCGGTCCCAGTAATAAATACAAGAGAGTTTTCATTAGAAGAAAGGCTAATTCCAGATACATGAACCATAAGGTTCCGGATGAGGTTAACTTTGGTGGCCAAAATAGCGGGGATTGAAGTTTCGGCAATGGGAAGTTGAAGAGGAATGAAGTCATAGAGGTGAAAGAGAAGGAAGGTAACTGCAAAGCATTGGGGAATGATGGAGAGTTGAACAGAGGAATTGAGGAAAGGAGTAATGAAGGATTGGTGGAAATTTGTGGAGAGGGGCATGGAAGTTGGAAATGCTCTAGGTCTTTTTTTTGGGCGCTGAGGCTTTTGCTAGACAGGCTTTTGAGGAGTTTGAGAAAAATAAGGACAGTTGTAACAGTTCCTTTCCAAGGGAAGGGGGAGAGGTGTGGGTGACGGAGAGGGGCAGGTAGAGGTCCTGGACTTGGAGGATTAATATTGAGTGTTGGGAGGAGGTTGGGGGGGTTCTTTTTTTTTTTTTCTCTAAGGAGGTTGGATGTATTGTCAATAGAGCTTATTGAGGTTGGTTTGGCATTTGTCTTTTTGTTATTGCTTATGTTTGATTTCTGGAAAGAGGTGTTAATTCTGTTCTATGTTTTTGGTCTTGGTATTTTGTTGTAAGGCTGAGTTGTATGTTGGGGGGGGGGAGTATGGTTCTTCTGTCAGGTGATTTCTTATCACCTTTCTATTGTAATATCTCTTTTTTCTTTTTAATGAAAAATTATTTTTATTATTAAAAAAAGCTTCTTATGGAAAATTATTTTTATTTTTATTTAAAGCAAAGTCTTCTGTTGAATATCCCTCTAAAAGAAATTTGTGTTCTTGGTTATCCATCTTTTGTCAGTTAAATATACCATTTCATTTACTATGATTTTTGTCTTAATTATCTTTCATGTTCGAAGAGTAGCAGTTATTTACCTGTACAATGGTTCCAATTTTTTTTTAATAACCTTATTTTCCACTATTGAACTGTCCTAGGCATCTTCAAGAGCTTGACAATATTGACTATGATGAGTACATGCTTTCAATATGTGGCTATGAGACTCTAAAGAGTATCTGTTCATCAGGAAAGAACAACAAGCTGCTTTATTTACCTCATGATGGTCGGTTTGTGATAAAGCCTTTACGCAAGTCTGAGATGAAGGTGAGTCTCTTTTTTTATATTTATATCTATTACCTTGTGTAAATGGGAGAGTTTTACTCCCCCATTCATCAACTCTCAAACTTTTTCTTTCCACTTAATAAAGTCAAACAAGAGTTTGTATAATAGTTTATACTATTTAGAAAATGTTTTTAGCTAATAGGTTATTGATACTGCATTCTTTGTTCATGTGTTCAAGGGAAATTATTTTCACTCACTTTATTCTGGGATCACTTTCTAATGTTTATTGTTTTTAATAAATACAAAATTGCTAAATTAGCGATCAAGAGGAGGAGGGGCCAGTGCTGGTTTCAAGTTCATCATCATCATCATCATCATCATCATCATTATCTAAGCCTTGTTCCAATTATATTGGATTCAGTGCTATGTCCATTGTAAAAGCACCGGTTTCAAGTTAAGACGCATAATACTATATAAAAATCTTATTATAAGTCTTAAAAGTATTCATTTGGGCCATAACACAAAGATCAACTTGAAATTAAATAATTATGGAAATGAAAACATATTTAAAGTTTAAATTGAAAATCTGAAAGAAACAGATAATTCGAAACTTGGAAGTACAGATTCATTCATATTTGAGGAAAATAGCAAGAAATTACTACTCTTGAGAAGGTAAAATGGAAGCATTTGTATAATATTTTTGTTGGAAAACGTGGGGTTATTGGTTCAGATCTGAAAATAGAATTGTATATATTCCTAGGATTG